GATAGATAGATAGATAGATAGATAGATAGATAGATAGATAGATAGATAGATAGATAGATAGATGTGACTTTTTACATTAAAAAAAATTGAAAATGAACAGAGCTCAGAACCAGTGCTATTTTCAGCAGTGTTTTCAAAATCTCTGGCCTTGTAACTCTTAAAGAGATTTTTAGATTTCACCTCCTTGTTTTGAAAATCTCCTTCTGTCTGTCTGCACCCGTCTGCATGGAGACAGACTCCCAAGTGGGGATGACGCTGGCCATGATTTGAGCAGAGGGACCGAGGTCCCTGGTGTCCAAAGGCTTGGTCTGCAGAGCCGCGCTATAGAAGGTAGTAAACCCTTGGAGGAGGGGCCTAGTTGAGGGCCTTAGGCCATTAGAGGTGTCCCCGGGAGAAATCATTCTGGTGGTCCTTTTTGGGAATTCTCACAAGAGGCTTGTTACAAAAATCTCCAGTTTGGCTTCATCCCGAATTCTCCTCCTCCTGTTAGAGAGGTGCCCCCTTGCTCCTCTATTTCTCCCAGCATTGTAATCACTGTCACTGTGAGGTCCTTTGTTGGGCTTGAGCCAATTCAGGCACCAAGTCCATAAATCACCAACACTGTGAGCAGAAATAAACACCTTTCTGTTCTTGAGTTAGTTTGCCTCCAGTGTTTCCTTATACTTTTCTCAGCCAAGCTTTTTTTTTAATGGTGAGGTTTCTTTTTTTATTATTATAAAATATATGCCCACGGCTTCAGTGTCCTCTTACTGCTATAATCAAATGCTAGGAAGCTGAGTCAGTTCCTTGGAACCGCACACATTTATTACCTGCAGCTCTGGAAGAGTCTGAAGTGGATTCTGTGGGGCAAAAACCAAGGCAAAGGTAAGATGTTTTCCATCTGAGTGTCATAGAGGAGATGCTACTCCTTCTATTGTCGCACTGTTCCAGGCGGCCCTCATCTCGTGCCCCCTTCCACCTCCAAGCCAGAAGCGCATTTGCAAGGTAACTAACTAACTGTCTCTACCTTGAGACAGTTAACTACCTTGTCTCTACCTGCTGTTTCTCTCTTTCGTGCATAAGAACCTGAGATTGTGTTGGATTGCCTGGATCATGCAGGCTTGTCTCCCCAACTCAAGATCTGCAGAGACCCTTTCATCCCGAGTGCTCTCTGTGTGCCCCCCCCCCCATGCTGGCCAAGGCTCCCAGGGAGGCTGCAGCCATGGCCTGTATATGCACACAGCATGGAAAAGGGATTTGCTCAGAATGGCTAGCATTGCAGGAGCTGGATAGCCCAATAGTAGTTGCAGCGAGCATGGGTAGCGGAGAACCCAGTCGCTGCTCAGTCTGTGAAGCTGATGACTCAGCAGCCCCAGTTCTGAAAGCCTAGAAGCTTCCCAGAGAATCACTGGTCTCAGGCTTACTTCAGAAACCTGGAGCAGACATATTCAAAGCCATAGAATCATACCACACATCACACTTCCTAGACCTATTCACTGAAGATTCCTTCGCCGTTAAACTCTTTATGGACAGTATAGAGACAACCCTCCATCATGCAGAATACTGTCAGTTAATTAGACTGAAGTGTCACCAAT